GATGCTGCCACCTCCGTGCTTCACTGTCAGAACCAAACATTCATTTATAAACGTCATCAACACCTCCTCTTATCATCACTCCCATCTCCTGCTTCGCTGTCAGGACTCACTGTGGTGGTCCTGGTCAGGTTCACACCAAACATCTGGACTCCATCTGAGCCCAACAAGTTTATCTTCATCTGACCAGAGAATGTTCTTCAACATTCATCAGACTTCTTTTTATGCATTTTAGCAAAGTTTAACCTCGTTATTTTGTTCTGAGCAGCAACAAGTTTTATTTTGTTGTCCTCCGTCCACAGAGGTTGATGTTCTGAAGTGTCTGAGCTTCACACTAACTCTGGTTTCCATTGATAACTCCTGGACCAAGTCTGAAGCAGCTGTTCTGTGGAGTCATTGTAGGAGGACGACCACTCTAGACCTCCTGATCACTGCTCACACTGGGCTTCACTGATGTTTAGTTGATCTTCATGAATCATTTTCCACCTTTTTAAAGTCTCTCAGTCAGATTTTTCAGTTCCTCTGTTCAGTTCTTCTCCATGTGGATCCACGATGCAGACATAGACACAGCTCATAGGTCCACAACGGAGAAAGTTCTGCTGTTCACAGCTTATTTTAGAACCATGTTCATGCAGTTTGACTGATTAGAAAAAACAGCTGGACTCAGTTTAGTCTAATTGATCATTCATTGAGTTTCTACTTTGGGGTCTAAATTGTTAATATAATCCTTTAAATGTGTTTCTGTATTTAAGTCCAGTCAGTTCTTGAACATGATTCTTGTACCAAGGAGACATATAAAATATATATCATTTAAACAGATATATGTGGAGTTTCCTCAGAGATAATTCCTGGAACAATCACTTTGTGGTTTTACGTTTCTAAACAGGACTTTGTGGCTCCTCTGCAGCGTTTGTAGACATTATCTGTTGGAAGAGCTGCTTGACAAATTTTAGGTCAACATATTGCAAAGAGGAGGAAAAAAAGCGAGAAAGTCCTGAAAATAGTTTGGTGAGCGAGGAATTCTTCTGCGTTCTCCCCGAGCAACTGGTCACAGAGCGGCTGTGTTCATTATGTCTGCAGAAGCTCAAAGGCCGACTGTTATTGTGAAGCTGTGACCTTCAATAATTGAATAATGACAAAAAGGAGCGTCACAGTCGGGCATGAAGAGCTTCTCCTCCGGTGGGTGTTGGGAGCTCCGCTGAGCAGCATTCCTTCCACTGCACATCACATGTGAGCCATCTCTCTAAACAAGATTCATCCTCACTGCAATCCCCCGAAGCCTTCTGGTGCTCTCTGAGTTAGACGATAGGAAGTTCTGCCTGTTCTCTCCGTCTCCTGGCCTTTGTTGTTGGTTTCTATTGTTTTCTTTCTTTCTGCTGATTGTTTGCGGTTTAACATTTAGCTGAGCTCTGAACTGATGCTGGACGTCTGCAGATGTCTCAGGTTTAGTTTATTTGTTATTTAGGACCAAAACTAGGTCAAATATTTTGGCTGATTTTTAAGAAGGATTTTTATTCTCTCACCATGATAACTTTACCTGAGAGGCCATTTTAAAGGGTTAATGTCTCCAGAAATGAAACTCAAAGAGCCGCATGAACACCGTCGTCTTGTTTTTACAGTGTTTGTCTTGATGTGTTTCAATAAACATGACGTTTACTGAGATGAGTGTTGAGTTATCATCAGTAGTAGTTCAGTTCCAGTGTCTGTACGGGAACATTACGGCAAAAATAAGCCTCATACGTGGTTTAGTTTTGGCATGAAGATGTAACCTTGCACATATAATGACAACATATAACCTCCATGAACTCCAGTTTTTGTTTCCTGCCAATGAGTCCACACAATAAAAAACTGGAACCTTGTCTTCCCACACCTCAAATTCTACTGATGTTAGAGCCTCAAAAGTTGGTGAAATGTCGACCAAAGACGGCATGTTAGGAGGAAATATGGACACATCCATTTATATACACTTACAGAAACTTTCTAGGGACACAATACTGCTCTCAGTTGAACATTTTTTAGGTCAACACCAGCCTTATTTGAAAAAAATAACATTTTGTTTCATTTTTAAGGACCAATAATTACTTGTTTTTGTCATTCTGGACAGGTTTCAAGTCACATTGGTCAGTTTTTATCCTATTTTTTAAACAAATATTTAGTCTTTTTGGACATGTTTAAAGTCATTTTATAAAGACTTTCAGTCATTTTGACAGGTTTTAAGTCAAAATAGTTAAAAACTGGAACCTATTTTTAGTAGGAAGAATGGATCCATCCATTTATATAAACTTATAGGAACTTCCTGGGGCCACAACAGCAGACATGTTTAAAGTCATTTTATAAAGATTTTCAGACATTTTGACAGGTTTTAAGTCAAAATAGTTAAAAACTGGAACCTATTTTTAGTAGGGAGTATGGATCCATCCATTTATATACCCTTACAGGAACTTCCTGGGGCCATAACAGCAGCCATGTTTGGAAGAATTTGCACTTTTTTCCATTTTAAAGGACCAACAACTGGTGCTGGAGACTATTCTGAGTCCTCACCAAATGTCATGGCTGTGGGAGTTTTATTTCTGGACATATTGAATGGACATAAAATGGAAAAAATCCAAGATCCGAAAATATGAAATTCTCAAAACTCAGCCAAACTATTTTACAGAACTTCGTTGTGGATCCCCAGTAAGACACCACGACCTGACCCGACACAAACTGACCTGTTTGCATTTAAAATATTGTTGGATGACAACTTCTATGACACCATAAAGAGCATCAGCAGCTCATCTTGTTGGAACCAGGTGGTATAAAAGAATTACAGGTGATTTTTTTGAAGAAAGTTTCCATTTTATTAAACCAAACGTAATAAAACAAGTAAAAAAAAAAGGGCCAAACTTTAGTTTCACATTGTCTAAAAACGTCGATTGAAGTCTCGTCATGATCTCGTCCCGTTTTCAGGCCGTGAACCCGGTGAACAGGAGCCGTGTACGAGCAGCAACAGCAAATTCATGTTTTTAAAAGAACTTCCCGCAAACTTCAGTCTGCTGACAAGAAAAAATCTTCAGGTTCACTGTTTTCCTAAAACCCCCAAATGGTCCAGTGCTTCTACTTCATACAGTACTGAGAACACGTAATACAAACATCCTGAAGGAATATTAGACAATTACCAAGAACTACAAGTACATTATTCTTAAAAAAAAACTGCAAAACAATGATGAGTCCTTCAATAATGGAACTAAATCCACCTAAACTCTCTTTTTAAAGGAGCACACGCTATCATGTGCGTAATTATCTAACTCTAGTCAGACATAGTTCTGCTCTAACTGATGACTTTATACACAAAAAACATCACATTTTATTAAACTTGGGTTTCATTTTGGTGATTCTGACCATCATTTCCATCAGTTATGAGTCCCTTATATATAACCTTTACTTATTCAGGTTGATCCAGATACAGAAACCACTAAGCAGCAGTCAGATGATCAGACAAGTTGGAAACTTATTTGAAAAAGAAAAGAAGTCAACAAGAGGAGAAAACTCTGAAGTGGTTTCCACATTCTACATGTTCAAAACGAAGCAAACAGTATTTGGACGCCTGAATATTTTCTTCGTGAATGTGTCTGGAAGCTCAGTATTTCTTCTCTAGACCAACAGAAATAGACAGAAAATTAAAAAGACAGCTGCGGATACTAATGAAGGCTGTTAGTGTGAACAACCAGAGAGTATCTGCTCAGACTATGAGGAAGCTTTCATGTTATTTCTGATCATTTCTGAGATATTTTGAACCAATTTTGGGTAATTTTAGACACATTTCAGAGTCATTTTGGACAGATTTCATGGTATTTTGGACCATTTTAAGTCGTTTTGACTTAGTTTTGAGTTCCAACTGAATTGACCTGTGACTTTCCTCATTAACGGTTCAACAAGACAACACGTCCTCACGTCTCCTTCTGGCAGCTGAGAATATTCCAGTGATACCACGACCTGCAGACTCGAACCTGTCATTGATTATAATGGAAGCAGAATGTTGCAGGATCTGTCAACAGTCTGCATAGGAGGGTACCTCATAAAGTTCTCAGCTCCTTCATTTGGATGCAAAGCACGTGACTCCTTGTATGAGGATGATGAGGTCGTGCATGTTGTCAGAGTGATGATGAGGTCGTGCGTATAGCCAGAGTGATGATGAGGTCGTGCGTATAGCCAGAGTGATGATGAGGTCGTGC